GTGGGTTTGAACCGCCAGCCTTCTGGTTAGCAGTCAAATACCTTAGGCACTATGCTAGCAGAGCTCCTACCTTTCTTTTAGGAAAAACAAAAGCGAATCTGTACCTATTGTTAGTAAGTCCATTCCTACTCACAGCACCCCTAGAGGACAGAGTGGAACTGCCCTGTAAGGTTTCCGAGGCTATCAATCTTTATGAACCAAACCAAAACCAAACTCACTGCCATTGAGTCAGATCCAACTCATAGCGACCCCTCCTTGGGTTTCCGCGGCAATATCACTATGGAAGTAGATTGCCCAGCCTTCCTTCTGGGGAGTGGTGGTGGGTTTGAACCGCCAGCCTTCTAGTTAGCAGTCAAATGCCTTAGTCACTCCGCCACCAAGGCCCAAACCACACCCACTGCCATAGAGTCTATTCCGACTCACAATGCCCCTAGAGGACAGAGTGGAAATGCCCCCAGAGGGTTTCCAAGGCTGTCAGTCTTCACAGAAGCAAAGCCCAAACCAATCCTACTGCCATGGAGTCAATTCTGACTCACAGCGCCCCGGGAGGACAGAGTGGAACTGCACCACAGGGTTTCAAAGCTATAAATCCTGGCAGAAGCAGACTTCCCCGTCTTTCTCCCGTGGAGAGCTGGTGGCTTCAAACCCCTGACCTTTTAGTTAGCAGGTGAGCACTTAACCACTGTGCCACCAGGACTTCTATCATTTTGGAAAATAGAATTTTTGTCAGGCATGTTACTGAGGGCATTCCTACTTAAGAGGTTCAATTGAGTGTCTTTATCAGTTCTGAGATTCTATCAGGACTAATATTTTCCATGAAATACTGTTTGTTAAGAACCTGTGGCTTAACTCTCAGCCAAACAATTGACAGGCCTATGAGCTGAACAACTACATCACGGAGATGTCCTCCTTAGAACCGTCAACCTTGGGAGAGCAGAAGGGTAGCATTTGCTTGGGGAGAAAGCTAGGGAGGCAGGAAGGCATAGGAAAGAAGGACACAGGGAAAGGGTAACCACTGAGGCAAGTGTGAAGAGAGCTGTTATATTGTGGGGATTGTAACCAGTGTCACGAACTGAAACGTGTAGGAACTATTGAATGGACAGCAAGTCTGCTTTGTTTTCACCAAAATCACTATAAAAAGTATTATTTTGAAAAAGCAGATAAACACTTTTATTTCATGATAGTATCAACAGTAAACATGTTTTTTGATAAAATAAGGAGACAAAAAATATAGTTTAGAAAATGACTTACAAAGTTTGTTTTTGCCAAGTATAATCTTTCCTGTGCTATGGACCAGAGATTCTGGGTGCTGCAAAAGGTTTACCCTCCACCACTAAGCATAAAGTTGGTGGTTCAAACCCATCCAGTGATACCCATGAAGGGGAGAGAGTGGCAGTCTGCTTCCATGAAGATTATGGCCGAGAAACCCTGTGGACCAGTTGTACTCTGACGTAGCTGGAGTCAACATGAGTCAGAATTAACTTCACAGCAGTTATTTTGTCTTATGTTTTAATAATATGAACCAAAGTATATGGTTTGGTCCTAGGGCTTAGTTAAATTGTAACCACTAAGACTATGAGCTCGTATCTACATAACACGTTTCCTTTGAGTAGTTCAGAGAGTTTGGCTACTGTAGTCATCCTTATCATCATCATCATCATCAAGAATATTACTGATCTTGTGATTGTCTAAAATTAGATTTGGAAAGATGTTTTTCTAAGTAAATGTCAACTGGAGAAGTTTGAAGTGTCTACATCAAAACTGGATGGCAGGGTTAGTACCTATAGTATGTCTAAAGGATAACTGCACAGTTCTTGTAGCCATAAGGAGCTCTGATGGCACAGTGCATAAGGCAGTTGTCTGCTAAACAGAAAGTTGGCGGTTCAAACCTACCAGCTGTTCCGTGGAAGGAAGATAGGTCAATCTACTTCTGTAAAGATTTAGTGCCTTGGAAACCCAGTGGGGGTCTCTGTGAGCTGGAATTGACTTGATGGCAGTGGGTTTGTGGCTATACTAATCCATTGTATGTTATTTATTTATTTATTCAATTTGTTGGTATTTCTTCAAGGTCAGAAGCACAGTTTTGAGTTCAGAAGTTTTCAGGTAGCAGGAGGCCTCTGGTGTCTTCATGACTCCCGTACACATCTTACCAGGGAAGAGGTATGGTTCCTAGTAGTTTTAACCTTTGGTGTTCACAAGCGTTATCAGAAGAGAGCAAAGAATTCCAAGAGAAGGGGAGACTTCATTCAGGAAATGAATTGTAGTCTCTGAAGTACAGACAAAAACCAGGTTTACTGATGTATCAGGAAGTGGGCTTTCTTTCTAAAGTGAAAATTAAATTTACCTCACATTAGGAGCTCCTAGGTGGGGAGATGGTGAAGCACTGAGCTGTGAGCCAGAAGGTTGGCAGTTCAAACCCACCCAGAGGGACCTGGGAATAAAGGCCTGGCAATCCACTTCTGAAAGGTCACAGCTTTGAAAATGCCGCGGAGCAGTTCTTCTCTGCACACTGGTCACCGTGAGTTGGAGTCAAGTTGACGCAAGTGACAGCAGCACTGAATTAATGTTCAGTGATTATGTGACTAGCACTAAAGATATTGTTTCTTTCTTGCTAAAAAGTCGAGTATTGGAAGATAATGTTTGTTCAACTTATTTTTTCCAGTCATGGCAAGTGATGTGTGAGACAGGAGACTGTCGACAACAGGAATTTCGGGATCGGTCTGGAAATTGCGTTCTCTGCAAACAGTGTGGCCCAGGCATGGAGATGTCTAAGGTACATATTGAATGTGTGGGGTGTTGTGTATCTGTATTTCAAATACATTCTGTTTAATTAAATTCTTTAATCTAGTGACTCTGGATATTATGATAGAATTCTTGGTTCATTATGTCACTGTAGACAAATAGTATACAGTTTCCTTTTCAATGCTTTTGATATATGTGTGAAGAAATAGCTAGCAACCAGAATTCAACAAATGCCAGTATTTCATATATTTTAGTTTGTAAAGAGGAATCCCTGGGTAGTGTAAATGGTTAACACACTCAAATGCTCACCAAAAGGTTGGAGGTTGTCCAGAAGTAAGGCCTGGTAACCTGCTTCCAAAAATTCAGCCATTCATCAACAATGACTTTAAAACAAAGATGAGAGGGTAAGGGGCAGGGCAACTAGATTAATGGGAACAGAACAACCAGAATGGAAATAATGACAGTGTTCATGCATTGTGAAGGTTGTAACCAATGTCAATGAAGACCTTGTGTAGAAATTGTTGAATGGGAACCTAAAACCATTGTGTAAACCTTCATTGAAAACAATAAAATATTGTTGTTATTATTATTTTTAAAAAATCAGCCATTAAAAACCCTGTGGAGCACAGTCTGATACACATGGGGTCACCATGAGCCAGAATCAACACAAGGGCACCTGGTGGTTTGCTTTGAGCGTTCCTAGTGTAATGTTGAAACTTTATTTGCAGAAATTAAAATGAATCAATACTACACGTAAATGCTTTTGCTATTATTAGTAAAATACTTTTACTGTTAGTAAGGGTAAAAATCAATAAATAGTAAATGCTAATAACATAAAGTGCTAACGTGTTATTTATCAGGCCTGTCTCTTAAAATAAGGAGCTCTTGTGGTGTAGTGGTTAAAGTGTTTGGCTGCTAACCAAAAGGTTGTTGGTTTGAACCCACTAGCCGCTCCGTGGAAGGAAAATGAGGCAGGCTGCTTCTGTAAAGATTGACAGTCTTGGGAACCCTCTGGGACAGTTCCACTCTGTCCTCTAGGGGCACTGTGAGTCGGAATTGACTCCATGGCAGTACGTTTGGTTGGGACTTGACTTCTGTAAATACTGACAGCCTTGGAAACCCTATAGGGCAGTTCCACTCTGTCCTCTAGGGGCGTTGTGAGCCAGAACCGACTCCACAACAATGGGTTTGGTTTGGACTTTTCTTGGGTAGATTAACAGCCTTGGAAACCTAGTGGGGTTGCTATGAGTCGGAATCAACTCCATGGCAGTGACTTTGGCTTTTAGTTCATTTTTTTTCTTAAAATGAGTGTTACCATTGCTGGTAGAGAAATAAAGAGGGCCACAGTGTCTTAAGATGGTCAAAGTACTTTGCTAAATCAGGGTTGAAGGTTCCTCTGGCAATACAAGTATTATTACTAACCTCCCAACTGAGCATCTGTTACTCCCAGAAGCACTTAGTATGCTTGTTTTAACCACTGTGTTTAAAAGAAAAAAAAAAAGTGTTTTATAGCAGCATGTATTTTACAGTCCCTGGATATTCTTGGGAGCCTTTTATTTTTGTAAACTATATAGTCAGTTGCTTTATTTTCTGACCTTTTGAAGATGTTACAAGTGGCAGAGAGTTGATGTATCTTTTTGTTCTAAATAAAGCATCAAAGTCTTCCTGTTAGAAAAGGAACAATCATGTTTTCTTCTTGTTTGAAGTGACTTTTAAAGAGCGCCCCTTGCATGGAGACTGCCCTCTTTAGTTCTGGGTCTTGTCATTCATAGATTTTTGATGGATGTTCGTTGCACAGCGGGAAACAAAGTCGCGTGCATTCCACAGGGAGCTTCCTGGTATAGGCCTATCTCTGGTTGTTTTGTTAGTAAATGGGCTTTCAGCATCCTGGGCTTCACATGTGAATTAAAACCCGCTGACTTTGGAACCCTGTGTGTGGTAGTTAAGGTTGTGTGTCAGCTTGGCTGGGCCTGGTTGAGTGGCTGGGCAGCTGGTGGTAGTTATTGTCCATGATGAGACTGGTAATCAACTCCATGGTGGAATCTACTGGAGCAGCTGAGTAGCTGCTTTAGGGATGTGGGCTGCTTCTAGTATCTAAGAAACAACTTTGAAGAAGGTCTCCAACTTATGCCACACTTGAACCCTGCATGTAGCCAAGTCATTGTTCAACAGCCTGCCATGCCCTGCTGATCTTGGGATGTCTACTGGACTTGAATTAGTGTTGTTTGGAAACATTGGGACTATGCCTTTTCCCTTGTCAACCTTGGACTTGTCAGCCTCAGCAGCCAGCAGCTGTCTGAGTGAAGAAAAGCCTCCAGCTTCAATGGGCCGGGAGCAGGAGGCAGAGCTGAAGCCCAAGGCTGAGGGGCATTCACTCAGCTCCCAGAGCCTGGTGCTTTGAACTTGGACTTAAGGCCTCCAACTGTAAGAGAGTAAACTCCGGTTTGTTAAGGCCATCCCATTTGTGGTATATAGTCCTGTCAGAGCAGCACTAGGGAACCAGAATACTGTGTGGTACCTAGTTACCTGTAGCATCTCAGTACATATTCTATTCTTCAGTTCCTGTTGATTGTAGCAACTCCTGTTTTCAGGAGTGTTTTAGGCTCTGTTGGGTATTTTAAAAAAAAAAAAAAAGTTTGAGCACATTTATGTAACTGGAATGAGTGAAGTAGCTTACAGTGAGATAGTGCCCAAGAGGAAAAGAGATAATGTTTTACTCTCAAAACCTTTTCCCCAAATCTCTGTGAACATCTGAATGAAACTTCACACATTCTGAGAGCTGAATAAATACGTTTTAAGGAGTCACCCCCTTACTGTCATCCTTTAAATCTGGAGAACCAAAAACCAAACCCACTGCCGTGGAGTTGATTCTGACTCACAGTGCCCCTAGAGAACAGAGTGGAACTGCCCCACAGGGTTTCCAAGGCTGTCAGTCTTTACAGAAGCAAAGCCCAAACCACACCCACTGCCATGGAGTTGATTCTGACTCACAGCGCCCCTAGAGGACAGAGTGAAACTGCACCAGAGGGTTTCCAAGGCTGAAATCTTCGTGGAAGCCTAAAGATCTTTCTCCCACAGAGTGACTGGTGAGTTCCAACCACTGACCTTTGGGTTAGCAGGAAAACCACTAGTGCTTAACCACTGCACCACCAGAGCTCCTTGAAAAGAAGTGACACCGAAATCAAATCTAAAAAAAAAAGGCGAACTCATTGCCATTGAGTTGATTTGACTCAGAGTGACCCATCCTTGGGTGTCTGAGGCGTTATCACTAATGAGAGTAGATTGCCCAATCTTCTGAGGAGTGGCTGATGGGTTTGAACCGCCAGCTTTGTGGTTAGCAGTCAAATGCCTTAGGCACTACGCTACCAGAGCTCCCAAAATCAAATCTAGAAATATAAAAATGAATGTATTTGTGTGTGTTGTATGTGTATATTATAAATAATCTACGTAACTATGACTTTTATAGAAGTTCTGGTAGTGTAGTGCCTAAGGCACTTGACTGCTAACCAGACAGTGGCGGTTCAAACCCACCAGCCACTCCTTGGAAGGAAGATGGGGCAATCTACTTCCTTAGTGATACCACCTCGGAAACCCAAGGAGGGGTCGCTATGAGTCAGGTCTAACTTGACGGCACATAACAACAACAACAACAACAACATGACTTTTATTGTGATTTTAGCTCATAAACCAAAAAAAAAAAAAAAAACCCACTCGCTGCCATCAAGTCAATTCTGACTTATCATGACCCGCACTGGGTTTCCAATGCTGTCAGTCTTTACAGAAGTAGATCACCCCATCTTCCTTCCACGGAGCAGGTGGCAGGTTTGAACCGCTGACCTTTTGGTTAGCAGCCAAATGCCTTAACCACTATGCCTCCACAGCTCCTCTAAAAACCAAACCAAACTCACTGCCATCAAGTCGATTAGACTTACAGTGACCCCTCCTTGGGTTTCCGAGGCGGTATCTCTACGGGAGGAGATTGCCCAGTCTTCCTTCTGAGGAGGGGCTGCTGGTTTTGAACCTCCAGCCTTCTGGTTAGCAGTCAGATGCCTTAGGCACTACGCCATCAGAGCTCCCTACCAGAGCTCCTGTTTGTTTGTTTGTTTGTTATGTGCCGTCGAGTCGGCCCCGACTCCTAGAAGGTTAAAATTAACAACCGAGTCTCACGCATGTTCTAGTATGCAGAACACAAGAGAGGATGAAAATTCAAAGGTACAAATGAAAACACACTTTTAGTTCTAGTTAGCCAATGAAGGCTTAGAGCTTGAGCTCCTTGTCAGCAATATGAGGACTAGAATTTAAATCGTTCATTCAGGAAGTTGCAAGTCTTTCTTTCCAAGCTGCCTGTATTCAATCTTTAGCAATAACATAGCTTTCAGAGGAAAAAACAAAGCAAGTTTTGAGTAGCTTAGAATCAGATAAATCACATCAATGAACAGTCTTACTCAGGTTGGCTAAGTATCACTTCTAAGCTTTATAAGGCAAGGGAAATATATTATTTTGAATAAGAACAAGCTTTTTCCTTGCAAGCAAATTCATCTTTTCTTGGGAACGCTGAATGCATAGTTTTGAGAGATACCCATACAATTGTCATGAAACAATGCATCCGAGAGCCCTTACCTTTTTTAATTGAGGCTTACGATTTTGGTTACCTTGTGGGTTTGAAAGGAACTCTGGCGCTGGGGTTAAGGAATTGGGCTGATAACCGAAAGGTGGGCGGTTCGAACCCACCAGCCGCTCTGTGGGAGAAAGATGAAGCAGTCTGCATCTGTAAAGGTTGACAGCCTTGGAAACCCTGTGGGGGTCACTATGAGTCAGCATTGACTCAGTGGCAGTGGGTTTGGTTTGGGCTTTGCTTGGTAAAGATCTACAGCCTTGGAAACCCTCTGGAGGTGGCTGTAAGTGGGAACCGACTCAAAGGCAGTGGATTTGGTTTTATGCTTTGTGCATTGAAATCTTGAAAGCACGTAAACTGGACATTTTTAATGTTGGTTGTGAAAATAGAGCAATGCTACCTTAAATTATTGACAT